AATTACTCAGCATAGTTAAGTCCAAAGCAAACTGCAAAGAGTTACAAAAGGGACCTCACAAAACAGGGTGACTGGGGAACAAAATGGCAAATGAAATTCAGTGTTGATAACTGCAAAGTAATTCACACTGGAAAACATAATCCCAACTATACATACAAAGTGATGGTGTCTAAATTAGCTGGTCCCACTCAAAAAAGAGATCTTGGGGTCATTGTGGATAGTTCTCGGAAAACGTATGCCCAATGTGCAGCATCAGCCAAAAAAGTTAAACAGAATGTTGGGAACCGTTAGGAAAGGGCTAGATCATAAGACAGTAAATATAATAATGCCTCTATGTAAATCCGTGGTACTCCCACACCTTGAATACTGTGTGCAGTTCTGGTCACCCCATCTCAAAAAAGATATATTGGAAATGGAAAAGGTAGAGAGAAGGGCAACAAAAATGATTAGGAGTATGGAACAACTTTCATCTGAGGAAAGATTAAAAAGACTGAGATTGTTCAGCTTGGAAAAGAGATAACTAAGGGGGAATATGACAGAGGTCTATAAAATCATGAATGGTGTGGAGAAAGTGTTATTTACCCCTTCACATAACATAAGAATCAGGGGACAACCAAAGAAATTAATAGGCAGCAGGTTTAAAAGAAACATAAGGAAGTACTTCTTCACACAACGCACAGTCAACCTGCCGAACTCGTTGCCAGGGGATGCTGTGAAGGTCAAAAATATAACTGGGTTCAAAAAAGAATTAGATAAGTTCCTGGAGGACAGGTCCATCAATAGCTACTAGCCAAGATGGTCAGGGTTTCAACCCCATGCTCCAGGTGTTCCTAAGCCTCTCACTGGGACATGATGACAGGGGATAGATCACTCGATAATTGCCCCCATGGCATAAGCCCTGGTTGGGGCAAAATATAATAGAAATATTTATTAATGGAAATATTTAATTGGACTGAGGACCCTAGCTGCTCCATGGTATTTAAGGAGTTCAGAGGTGTATCAAGATTCATATAGGCCCCCAAACACAAATATAGGTTGGGACCCTAACACACAATTCTGAAATAACCCCTTACCAAAACCTGCCCATTGAAAGCATTCCTCCTAATGTACACCAATCTCTCCTTCCCATCCCCACTTTGCCTTCTCTCCCTGCCACTTGAGGCCCTTGGACTCAAGGATTCCCAAGCACTGCTGGGGTGAGATTTCTGGCTATGGGTATGGGCTACACCTGCTTGTTGCTGTATGAGAGGCAACAGCAGATTGTGATTGCAGAGGGGCTAGAGCTGTGCAGGTCTGTCCCCAAGGGCCTCCGCTGTTCAGAGCTCTAGGACAAAAGGTTCAAAAGTGGACATTGATTTTGGGTGGCTCATGTTGGACACACAAAGATGTGGCACCCAAAATCTGTGGTCACTTTGGAAACTGTGGCTGCTAGTCCCCGGGCACACAGATTCATTTCTGGGGTGTTTCTTCCTCCTTGCTATATTCACAGCAGACTGAGGTTTCAGCAGCAGTGATTATCCACTGTTCTATCTTCCTCCCTTGTCTGTGCCTCATCTCCTCTTCAGTCTGTGCTTCTCCTCATACTTTCCTTTCTTGGTGCTTAGATAACATGGCGATAGCAGCCTTATAAATACATATGATTCTCTTTGGCTGCCTTTTTGACTATCTTCTGTCCTTCCTCTCTTCCCCTTAGCACTACAGCTCCCTTTTCTGTCTCCCCTTTTCTTCTCTTCACTATTAATATTACTTGAATGGTGCATCTAATGTTGGAGTAGGTGCAGCACACACTAGAGTACACTAGATAGGGTATCCATATTTCTTGAAACTGAAAACCGGATGTACGGGGCTGGCCAGAGCTACCCGGTATCATCACTTGTCCCCCTGAAAGTCCCTCTGCGCCCCCAATTGAGCTAAGTAGCAGAGATAGGGGCGGGGGGGTGGAGGAATGGGTATGGGCTGGGATCTGGGCAGCAAAGGAAGGTGTGAGTGTGTGAGAATGTATGGGTACTTTTGGGCTCAGAGCCAGGAAGTGAAGCTACTGAACTACGATCCAGCTAGCTGTGCGGTGGCCCCTTGGAGGCTGGGATAGCAGAGGGGCAGGAAGGAGGCTCCAGCTAGCAGCCCTGGGGGTGGAGGGAGGCTGGGATGTGGCAGAAGCAGGTGACTGGAGGCAAACTGGGGAGGAAAAGAGGCTGGTTGGGGTGGGTGGGGACTGGAGAGGGCTCCGGGGACCAGCCCCAAAGGATGGGGAGGGGAGTTCAGTAGGTCAGGGTGGGGGCTCCGGGGACTGCTTGGGGGCAGGGGGCATGAGGCAGAGGTGGGAGCTGCTGGGCAGGGGGAGGATATGCCGCATTTGGTGCCCTGGCTCAAGTGGATGCTGCGAGACCCATCGGGCACTTAGCAGCTAGGTTGCCCAGTAGGACCCAGGGCCCCGCTGTCTCGTGGAAACCGGGCGATACACAAGATGAGGCAGAGACCAAAGAAGAGTTTGTATGAGGGCCCTAACAGCGCTGCCCTCTGATTGGGCTGCAGAGTGAGCATGTGACACCCCATCGCTCCCTGATTGGAGTGGCAGGATGTAGTGAAGAGACATCAGCCATGCTCCCGCAGGGCTCCAAGCACAGCACCTGTGCAGCCTCCCAGTGGGGGATGGAGCACAGGCCTTAGGTTGCCCATATGGGGATGTGGAGATGTCCCCCACCCCGAATGTCGACCACTCGCCCCTGCAAACATTCCTGCACATCCCCCAGTTTGAAAACTTGGCATTTGTCTTGTCTGCTCTTGCCAACTGATCATCATCAGTTGGCATGAGCAAATGGGACAAATGCCCAGTTTTGCCAAAAAAAGGCGGGATGTCCAGGACAGGGCTTAAAAAGGGTTCTGTCCTGGCCAAAATGAGACGTATGGTCACTCTAATACTAGAGGGCATTTAGGGAAGGAGTCAAGGTGAGAGTGACAAGATGGAGGAGCTCTGGCATTTATGTGAGTTTGCTTGAATCTAGAATCCAGTATAATCTTGAGATTGGTCACCTGTGCCCGCAAAAAGACAGCACAGGTATTTTACAGATAAGCCAGACTGACAGGTATCTGCCACCTGAAAAGCTTAAATTAGACACAGCCCTGCAAGGACCAACAATAAATAAGGGTTGCAGAGGAAATGGAATGGGAGTGGGAGGTGTTACAGCAATGGGAGATAAGTTTGATGTGGCACAAAAACACATCATGTTAACTCCTTTTACAGTGAGTATGTTACGATGTGGGGACAGAGCTGGGACAGAGGATATGGGAAGAGTTCAGTGAGGTAATGCAAACTCTCTCTTTTCCCATCTATCTCCTAGGTATCTTGTTTTTAAACAGCCATCGCTTCTGAGACAATTTTGAGAATGAACATCAGAAGTAAATAAAGGAAGCAACAGAGCTGAAAGGGCTTGTTACATAAAGCTAGCTGGGCAGGCCTGGTAATGGGTAATGGGGAGCAGAAAGTAGGACTGTTGCTGTCTCTGTGGATTGGATTGGCCATCCTCATGGCTGCGACTGTCAACATTTCACAGAGAAAAGGAGGGTGAACTTGTCTCCTCTCACAGGGAGGTGTGGTGTGTCAGGGCCTGAGGAGAACATTTCAGATCCACTCCCCATCCCAAGCCAAGAATCTTTTCAGTTTTGTTGTTGTTGCTGGGCTAGAATCAGGCAAAACACCATTAAATCACAGAGTCAACAGATTCTTGGCTGGTGTAAATTGATTTAGCTCCACTGACATAGAGCAAGGACCATTTACATTAGCTAAGTATTTGGATCACTCTATCTCCCTTGTTTTATGACCCTTTCTTTCCATTTTCTTTTTCTCTTCTCCACTTTTTCTTGTCTCTCTCTCAATTTGTCTTTTGTTCACTTTTTTGGTGCCCTTGGGCAAAAATTTCAAACGTGGCCATGGATTTTGAGTGCCACTGTTTTCTTGGAGGTCAATCCTGAGTCATCTGAAAGGGGTCTGATTTTCAGAGGTGTTGGGTGGCTGCAGTTCCTACTGCATTCAGGTGGGGTTTTGTGAGTGTTCAACTCTTCAGAGAACCAGACCCTTGAAAATGCCTCCAAATGGGGCCCAAAAAATAGAAGCACCCAAAATCAGTGGCCACTTTTGAAAATCAAGACCCATGTATTCTCCCTGCAGACAAATTCTTCCTTCATTGCCATATTTTAAATCTGTCTTTGAATACTTCACTCTTATTTCAAGCTGTTTTTCTTTTTGGATTCGTTCTCTGTTTTTATCTTCTTTGTTTCATTCTCTTCCTCTCCTCCATTCCCTTCTCTCCTTTCCTCCTCCACTCCAGTCTGCTCACGCTGGGCTCTGATGAAGGGAAACTGCTTCCCCAAAGCAGGCTCTGAGGATGTTTTGGAAAGAGAGTAGGAGGCAGAAACAAGTTAGAGGGGCGCTCTCTTCAAGTGCCAGTGAGGTGACAGTCCTGCATTACAGCTGGTTGAAATAGAAAACAACATGTGTAGGGGAGGGAGGATTTCAGTGTTGTTTCCATTTTGCAGGATTCAGAAAAAAAATCCCTCCCCAAATGCTTGACTTTTTACTAATTAAAAGGGTGTTGAAACAGCATCCAAGCAAACAAAGCATTTGCTCCACATTCAGCAAAACTAAAATTTAAATAAATAGAAAAAAAACAATTGTATTTCAATACACTTTTTTTTTAAATAAAAGGCCTTTTTTGACAAAGAAAACTTTTCTTTTGAAACATTTTGCCTCACTCTATGCAGCATGATGCTAGTGGCAAGGCATGGGAGGGAAGGGAGATGACTACTCCCTCTTATCATGCTCCGTTCCCCACCTCCTGGGCTGAAGGATTCATGTTATAATCTGATTTCTCCTCAGCTGTAAAGAGCTGAGCATCACTGAACAGCTGCAATGCCCAGGAATAGACTTGGACAGGACAGTGTCCCATGAGCTTGCCAAAGACTGAGATGAACTCTTACCTGCCACTGTTTGTCTTCTCTTACAGGAATGAAAATGTTTTACACCAGTTCTGCTGCCCAGCAGCTGATGCAGAGCAGAAGCCTTCATCTCTGGACTCCTCACCAAGGTGGGAGATTGCTGTCATCATGGGCTTCTTCTTTCCATCCCTCTCCTCTTCTCAGTACTCATCACTCTCCTCCCTGCCCCAAATACACACCCCACATCCTGCTGTCATTCACCCCCATCCCTCCCATAAACATCTCCCTACCACTGCTCTTCTTCACACACCCCTCGCTCTTCACTCCCAGATATGCCACCCAGTAAGTTTTAATCACACACACACACATCCAAGCACACCCTCGGTCTCTCTCTCTCTCTCTCTCTCACACTCACCCACACCTTCCACCAGGGCTTCGGGCTGGTCTCACAGAAGTGCCAACAATAGAATTTCATAACAAGTGGTACAGCTTGTTTAAATACTATTTGAGCTATTGCAGTGTGGATTGCCAGGTGAAATGGGCTGAATTTTCCAGGGGAGGGTAATTGTAATGGCACTAGCCTGTGTACAAGTTAGCATGGTATGGGCCCACATTGACCACACAACTGAGACTGATGCAACCCTCTCTGATTGGCAGCGGGCATCAGAACCTAACCCAAAAATGAGAAGGCAAATCAAAAACAACCTGGGAGATCCATTTCCAGTCAGCAATGCACAAACAGAACCTGCCCCCCGTGCCTGGGCTACTTGCTACAGTTCCATTGCTAGGACGCCATGTCCTGAAAACGGTAGGCAGTGTGCTAGGAAATGCCCGAACCTGGGGCTGGTCAATGCAACACTCCCAGTTTGCCACTAGAAAGTGCAGCTTTTGACATGACTGTTTCACTCTCTCCCTTGTCCTTTGTCAGGATCCACCTGAGAGATGGCTGATCTTTTTAGCTGAATCTGAAAGTCTGGGTGTACCAGTCCACTTTAAGTCTTGCTCTCCCAGCACTTAGATACCATGTTGACAGGCGTTTCAGAAATACTTGGGATAGACAAGATGCCAATATAGATGCGGCCTCCACTCTCCATGTTCTCTCTCATCCTAACCCTCTCCCAGCTCCCTCTCACCCACACCCTCCCATCCTTCTATGTCTTACATGGACACATGCTCCTTCTTCTCTCACCCTCTCATACTCCTGCTTTTGGCAGCTAGGGAGTTTGTTTTTGGAGATTTATATCCCATTGATAGAGTCTTTCATCTGACCTTTGACATTGACATCGGAAGCCAGCGTTCCTGGGAATGGCTCCAGGCGGTGTGGGGCAGGTGAGTTGCAGAGGCGGGGCGGTGGTCTGCAATATGCTGTTTTTCTTGATTTGTCCTGCTCGCTGGAACAGCCTCTGCATTCTGATCACCGTGCAGTGAAAAGTTTGAGAACTGACTGCTGTGAAGAGAACAAATGGGCACGTGCATTCGGGGGATGTGTGGGGCCCTGCTGTACTCAGGGAGGGGGCAGGGAGAGTGGGCTCTGTCTCCTGCTCTTTAGTAGCCAAGACTAAATGTGGAAGGAAGGCAGGGATAATCCTCTGTGCTGAACTGGCCTTCAGTGCTGAGAGGGTGAGCATGGGGAGGGTTGTCTAAGCCTTGAGTGGAGTCTAGAGCCAAACTTCAATGAGTGTGATAGAGGGATGCAAGCCCTATGAGGCAGTTAAGTCTGTGGAGATTGCTGTGCTAGAGACAGTTTGGCCTCTCACCCGTAGCTTTGGAAAGATAAAACTATGGGTCATGTACCTTGTTTGGCCTGATTGTGTTCCCTTTTAGACTGGGTTTTCAGTGTCCACAATCCTGGCCTTTGGGCCCTGCCCCCTCCCTACTCTACCTCATTTCTAATGTGATTGTGGTTTTTTCTGGCTTAGTTTTTAGTTCTTTGTGGTTACGTCTACACTGCAAAAAAGGACCCGCAGCAGAGCCGCAGCTGGCCCAACTCTGGCTGCGGGGCTGTAAAATTGCTATGTAGATGTTTGGGCTTGGGCTGGAGCCCAGGCTGTGGGACCCTCCCACCTCACAGGGGCTCAGAGCCTGGGCTCCAGTCTGACCCCGAATATCTACACTGCGATGTTATAACATTGTTATATTATATACATATATATTATATAACAATGTTATAAAATGTTATAACAGGTCCCCACGGCCCAGGCCCTGTGAACCCGACTCAGCTGACCCAGGCCAGCCGTGGGTCTTTTATTGCAGTATAGACCCTGTGTGTCCCTGGACTACATGACTTAGTCACTCCCAGGAGGTCTTAAACTCTATGGTTACTTGCTGTGTGCCTAACCCCACAGCCCTTCTCATTAACCCACCAACTCCCTACAATTCAGGCAAAGACATCGCAAGCCACTGACACCCAGAATGTCCTGGACTCTCTTGCTGTTTGTAGTAATGCTGGGAAAATGCAGAATTCCTGCCTCCAGATCTGCCAGGTGAATGGAGGCAGAAGAAATTATTCCATAATCATTTGTTTGAAAGTGTCTCAGCATTTGTCATGTTGAAGCCTGCACTTGAGCTCAACCCATGGAGCTTGGATCTAGGTCAGCATCCAAACTTCCCCAACGAACTCCTGATTAAGCCCTTTTATACAGCTTTCTGCCTGTCTCATGCCATTGACTCTGCCTGTCTTAGCTTATCATGGTCTCCCTGGTACTCAGTCTCCCTCCTTCCTTCTCATAGAGCCAGTCTCCCTCTCAGCTCTGGTGCTACAACCCACTGCAACTTCCTAATAGCTTGGCCATCATGCTGAGGAAGTATATTCCCTGGAAAGATGATGAAGTTCTGGAAAGTTCCCAGGCATACTGTGGCATTGCTAAGCTGGTGACACAAAGGCCAGCTGGGTGTGAGGAATGATTCTCCCCTATGGGCAATCCAAATTTGGGTCCTGAGCTCAGTGTCTTACCCCTCCCCAGCACCTGCCTTCAAGCTGCCAGCAACGTTGATGCAATATGCTTATCCAGCCCATGAGGATAAGAAAGCACCTCATGTCACTGTCATCAAGGGCTCTCCTCCCATAGCTGACCCCCGGAGCAGCATTGATGGGCTCCGGAGCTCCATAGCTAGAAGGAAGGTGGGTTTCCATGACTTCAGAACCTTGAGGATGATGGAAAGGAAGTAAATGGAAAGGAAAATAGGTGGTGGGATCTTATAGAGACCCCTCTTCCCTGCCTCAAAATAGTAAATCATAGCCCCACACTTGTCCTTCCATGAGAGAAGCTCGTGCGTGGAGAATAAAGATGGTTTGAACCTCTCCAGCGTTATAGGGGCCAGAAACAGATACAGACTTGTCCGTTTTTCAATTAGCAATCCTTAAATGTAGGCTGTGTCTCACTGTCTGTATCATGTGACAGTGTGGTCCCAACAGTGTGGTGCTGTTGTCTATTAGATAACCCAGGTTGGGTTTTTTTTTCCTTTTTGTCCAAGATCAGACATTTCCCTAAATGAGATCAATCCTGTCAGAATTGATGCTGCTAATAACCATCAGCCGTCTAGTTTTAATTAGAGTTTGCTTCATTAATGCCTTGACTCCTCTCTGCGCAGCAGATTAAATAATGTACTTCCAGTTCATTTACACAAGCTCCCAAACTGCAGGGCTGAGCTGCAATCCTTTAATTAAACAGGCCGGCTGATCCCTGCTGCTGCCTCGGCTCATCAGTCTAAGCCGATTAAAGAGAACAGGGACTAATAACAAGCATAAACCGGGAACTGACTCTTGTCTCTTCAAGGGACTGTGGAGACTCCAGCGGTGGTTGGGCCATTGACTTCTCTCCTGTAGGGAACCTAGGCTCAGTCCTAACTACCACATGGCAGGACCTACAAAAGTGGCAAGGTTCTTATTCCTGTGGGAAGGGTTACAAGCCAAGGGCATCACCAGTGCGTAGGGGCTGCGGAAACTGTCCTGCTCTCCTGGGACAGTAGGAAGGAAATACCAGATGGGTGGCTGTGGATGGGGCAATGGAAGGGTAACGCTAGACAGTGAGCAAAGGAGATGAAGGTAAGACCCGGCACCTAGAACAAAGGGAGGCATGGTACCAAGCCATCAGAGCAGAGACAGGGTGGCAGGAGGGTACCAGCGAGCATTCAGCACAGGGATGGGGTAGCCGGAGGGTGACTTTGGGACCCCAGAACAGGTGGAAGGTGGCAAGAGAGTAACACTGGGCAATAAGCACTGGGACAAAACAGCAGGAGGGCAACACCTGTCAGTAGCAAGGGGCCAGGAAGCAACTGTCTCTGTGTGTTTTGTGGTGATGTTTGTTGTCTGTTGTCATGGTGTGGTTTCCCTTCTCCTCTCTTCTGCAAAGCTGACTCTGTCTTTGTTGCCCATCCGTCAGGAAAGGCTTTGAAATGCTAGTGGGTAGGAACTGATTGAGAGAAGATCAGGGTCTAACTCCTCAACAGAGACCAACTCAATGAGGCACTTTCAGTTGCTCCTGCTCTTCCTCATCTGATTCAGTGCACTGTCAGCCACAAGCAAAATGGAGTCTCTGGACGGCTATGGCTCCCAGCACTTCTAGATGCAACAGCTCACCTTGCTTTCTGACAGGGGGCTGTGCTAGAGGTCACCAGGACCGGCTCTGAAGACCAAAGAAGCTCTCACAGAGCTGGCATTGGCAGACAGATCTGTACTTGGAGGTTGTGTCTGGGATACCCAGGTCCAGTGTGTAGAGTCAGAGTCCTGGAAGTGGCACCAGCAGCAGCCTCACACTGTGGGGCTGTGCTAAGGATACCCAGATACCGGTTACAGAGGAAAGGATTAGATTGTAGCTGAGATTATAGGGCAGGAACCATCTTTTGTTCTGTGTCTGTGCAGTGCCTAGCACAAAGGGTCCTAGTCCATGCCTGGGGCTGCTAGGCCCTATTGCAAGGCAAATAATAAATACTAGTGATGATAAAGGAAATTTCATGGGGGAGATATGAGGGCCCAGGGCTAGCCAAGGTCAGGCCCCAGAGCGCAGGAGACTTCATGGAGAAGGTGCTGACAACCTGCCCTGCTCTTTTCCTGAGTGCTGCTTAGACTCTGATTTGACCAAACCCCATAATTTCATGAGGTGACTGCTCTTTTCATGCTGGCTTCTGCTGTTAACAGCAGAGCTTCATT